CCATGAATTACACATTATGTTGTTTGTCAATCTTAAAAAATAATTTCCATGTCAAAAAAGTCACAGTTTGTCGTAAAACTGTTGAAATATAAGACTATGAAAAATACGCAACTAGAAAGACTACAAATCCCAGAGTCGCGTATTTTCCTCCACTAAGAGATAGCTAAGATCAGCGCCATATAGATAGAATCTATCTACAGTATATGGCGCTGGCTAAGATAAGATAACTTTAACAAGATGCCTGTGTGCTTAGTACCAGGTTGTTATCATACTAGCAATGGGTCTTGCTCGTTCTTTCGCTTCCCGTCTGATGAAAGGACCAGGAGTGGCTGGATCAAGTTAGCTACCTAGCTAGTAGCTAGCACGTTAGTTAGCATTACAGCCTTGTCATTTTTATTAGCCTTAATATGAAGTAACATTAAGTAACCCAAAATGTAAACAGTAAGAGTAGTAGTCATATTTCGTGAACCCTTTTAAGAGTACTGTCACCGGTGTGATCATTCTATAATACANATTTTGGATTGTCTATTTCTAGTGTCTTGATTTCTCTTATATACATTGCAAACATTTCCCAAATTGGGATCAATAAAGTACCTCTCTATCTATCCATCTGTCTGTCTGTCCATCTATCTATCTATCTATCTATCTATATATCTATCCATCTATCTATCTATCAATCCATCTATCTATCTGTCTGTCCATCTATCTATCTATCTATCAATCTATCTATCCATCTATCTATCTATCTATCTATCTATCTATCTATCTATCTATCTATCTATCTATCTATCTATCTATCTATCTATCTATCTATCTATCTATCTATCTATCTATCTATCTATCTATCTATCTATCCATCTATCTATCCATCTATCCATCTATCTATCTATCCATCTGTCTATCTATCTATCTATCTATCTATCTATCTATCTATCTATCTATCTATCTATCTATCTATCTATCTATCTATCTATCTATCTATCTATCTATCTATCTATCTATCTATCCATCTATTAAAGTATTACTATCGTTAGCGTATCGTAGTATTTAAAATACCGTGGATGTGTGCTCATTTGATTTGCTTCTTTGTTTAATATGTTAGTCTAGTCCTTATGTTTGCCTTAGATCTGCTCTGTACCTGCTAATGTCCTCGCTGTGGGACTGATAAAGGATTTCTCACCGTGTGTGTATGAAAGGAATTAAAACAGAAAACCAATGTGTGTTTACTTTGGAGAAAGCGGCGGTCCCCAGCACCACGCGGTCGTCGTAGCTGCTGCAGCTCACCGTCTGGTTGTCATTGGTCAGAACGATGTCCCGATGAGCTGTGCTGGGGTCAAAGGTGAACCAGGCCACTGTAGGGAGGAAACAGTCTGTCAGGATGATACCAACGCCTGCTAAGCTTTGTTGCTTTAGGACAAATAGTTAAGACAAAATACGAAGCTCTGGAAGTCTGTGCCTTCAGTTTCATGTAGTTTTGACATTTATGGTAAACCGGCAGCCTGCTCTAGGGTTTTTAAAACAAAACTAGACTCACTTCTTCTCCCTGGCATTCTAGTCCGAGCAGAGTATGACTACGGACAATTCCCTGTGTTGGATTTTTATATTTGTTGTGGTAATTTATTGTCTTCTGTTTTTTGCGAATGTAGTAATGTGTTATTTATTATTTGCATGTACAGCACTTTGGTCTCGACCAAAAATCGTTTTAAAATGTGCTTTATAAATAAAACCTGATTTGATTTGATAAGTGTAGCGCTTTTATGGCAATATGCGGTTGTATAATGGGCTTAGAAACCAAAATGAACGAGTCCAAGAAAAGGTCTTTTAACAACAACAACAAACACACCCACGATTAAACAACACCATACTTTACATGTCTAAATTGTGTATAAAGTTCAAGTATCAATAAACATGTTAACTCACTCCCCTTCAAGTAAAAGTAGAATAAAGTCATGAGCAGTCAAAGACGCACCACATTATTAGATGACAATTCTGACAAACTACAGTTAGAGCAGCCTAGCTGGTTTTCACTACATTATAACAGATATCTGAATGTGACGAAAGTAGAAAGTTCTGCGGTATCATTATGAACTCCACTAACAGCAGACATTTTTACTTCCATTGGGATATTGTACAATATTTCAGAGCTGTTAAGAAGAATTGGAGGGATGAAACCCTTTTTAATGGTCACACATGCAGAGCACACAGCACACACAGTGACATTTGTTCTCTGCTTATAACCCATCCTAGTAGTAGGATCAATGGGCAGCTATTGTACAACGCCCAGGGAGCAATGGGAGTGAGGGTGGTTTCATTCAAAATCTGGTTTCATTCCCTTATCTCTGCTTTATTTGTGACATTTAGCATAATACGAACACTTTGGTGGAACAGCCCACAACTCATAGACATCTGACATGTTTTGACATTCTTTAACAAGAATATGTATTTTATGAGCTTATCATGTGTTGTAATAAGAGATTAATATTAAAGCTAAGTAGTAACTGCAGCGGTGACATAAATGTACTGGATTCTAAAGTGCTTCCTGGTAATATATAGTGAAATAGAAGTATATAAGATCAACTTAAAGCACAAGACGTACCTGAATATACTTGGTTTCTCCACATCCTAGCTAATATAAAGAAAATAGAGCGATATACCCCAATAATGATTTCCTACAGACAAATAAAGTCAAAGAGAAAAAAAAGATGTCTCTATCTGTGGTGAGAAACATAGATTTAGTATTTTCGCTTCTCTCCTCTTTGCTCCTTCCGGCCTGAAAACAAAGGGCCCTGCTGTCCTGAGGGAGCCTGCACTGTGTTCTGGCTGTTGGTCCAGATATAACAAGAGCCAAACATGGTCTTTTTCTCTCACACCTCTGACTCTGCAGAGCCGCATTGAAGTAGCGCTTTCTATTCCCTGAACTGCCTTCTTTCCTGTCTTTGTCTCATGTTTCTGATCAGTACACCTGAATCTTAAGCCAAACATTCGACTGTAAAGTAATAATACTGACAGTTCAAGTAGATCTATTCAAAATGTAAAATATCTGTAGTTAAAGGGGCCCTATTATGCTGACTTTCAGGTTCATATCAGTATGTAGTGTCTCTACTGGGACGATTAATTTTCTTTTTCTCATACTCCTGTCAGCACCTCTTTTCCCCTCTGTATGAAACCACACAATCGGACCTATCACGTACAATGTGTTGAAGCGCTAGCCAATCCAAGCTCAAGTGCTACATAGTGATGTCATAATGTTAGAGAAGTAAACATAGGAGTCCACTGGAGGTGTTTCAGCAAAAAGGGAAACCCAAAAAGCATAAATGGGACACTTTAAAAGTCTCTGCTACAGAACATTATAACCCTAAAGGCCCTGACACACCAAGCAGTCACCAGAGAACTCGCCAACGCCGACTGTTGCGTCGGCGAGTTCTCCTGCGTCTTGGCCATGTGTCGCACTGGAACACACCGCAAAGACTTCAGCCGAGCACGTACGAACTGCGCATGTGTGAGTGGCAATAACTCTCCTTACCAGCAGGCGGCGGTAGTGTGTATTCGTCATTCAAAAGAGGCAACAACCGGAAGACAGAGAAGAAGAGCAGACTACGTGATACAAACAAACAATAGCGTGTGCGTTCCATTTTCACTCTCGTCCATCGAAAACATGTTTTGTGCGGTACTGGAGCTATCAGCCATTGGAGTGTTGCTTGTGGAAGACATTTCGGCCATGAAAGGCCAAATAAGGCGTGTCACGCCCGACGGTGCGGGACACACCAAATTGAGTTTTGGCATCAACGAAAACGACTGATTTCGGCCTGGTGTGTCAGGGCCTTTACCCTAACCCAACCTAACCTAACCCTATAGTACATAATTTAAATATCTACACTAATGTCAGATAGCTCAGATATCAACAACACATAGTTCTCCAAATCCTGTAAATGTTCTCCCTCTCTTTTCCAGCTGCTCTTTCCCAACCAATCAAATTCTGGCATCTCTCAGCCTTGGCACCAATCAGATTTGACACAGAAAGTTGTTCCATCCTTACCTGAATGACAGAGGCCAGGGGGGATAAATGAAGGTAAAAAATGAAAAGGAAGGAGGGAAAGCATCTGTGATTCCCCTCTCCTCTTCGGCTTCACTTCATTCTGAGACACTTAGGGACCCCTGACAAACAGTCACACGCACGCGCACACACACAAACGCACGCACACACACGCTCTGCTGCCAGCGTAATAACAAATGCCTTCAATTTAACCAGCCAAGCAAAACAAATTAGGAGCACGGACACAAAGACTCACACACACACACTCTGACACAATAGAGCATTGTTGTTTTTTATTGTCAACGGTGGCTAAGTGATTGGCTGGCATGTTTCATTCAAATGTATTACATTCACATAACACAGCCTAGCAGACAGACGCACTCGAACACACTGTTGTGTTTTCGCAGAATAAGGCTCTATTGTTTTAGAATCGTGGGAATCAACATGGCGGCTGGTCAGATAGTGTCCCACTCTGCTATCATAGAGGTCACTCTTACTTGTTCTCAAGCTGATACACTCCATGCTGTATCACTACATGACTCACCATAGACAAAAACGAATGCATCCACGGATAGGGCTGGGTTTAAATAGAATGTATCAATTCTAACCATCTCACCCGCTTATCAATCCTTTTAAGCTTTAGTTGTTTAACATTTGTAATACCTCTATCCACTGAAATCAGTTCCATTAATTAGGTGCTTTCACACCGGAGTACTTTTCCCCGTACTTTTCCCGTTTAATTCCGATAGTGCCTGGAATTCTGCGTTCACGTCATTAGCATTACTAGCATTAGCCCTGCACACCAACGAAGAGAGAAAAACTTATTGCAACACAAAAAAAAGGGTTGTCGGCGAAGTGGTTTGGGCCTGCCAGTAAACCCAAAGCAGAAGAAGATGAAGTGACGTCAGTGGCTTAATTTGCGTAATCTTCCCTCAGGGAACTTATTCCGGTTTGAACGCGATCTGTACTTAGTTCCATGGGGGTACTAAGTACGGCAAAGTACTTGGTGTGAAAGCGGCTATTCTAGTCCCGTTCCGGGGCTAGTTTTCAGTTAAGAACCAGTCTGCTTTACCAACAACGATTGAATTGCAAGAATAACTATAGTAATACAAATTATGTATTGAAGTCAATGGAGAGAGAAAGATTAGTCTATCTATCTATCTATCAATCCATCTATCTCTCTATCTATCTATCTATCAAATTTCTGACTTGATCTGTCCATTAAAGTATTACCATATCGTTATCGTATCGTAAATCATTTTGTTCAACATGATAACTTGCAAACTGACTTTAATGCTGATATCTGTTCCCTTTCTCTTTTATTATGCTGCTTATTATAAAATACCGTGGATGTGTGCTCATTTGATTTGCTTCTTTGTTTAANTTAAAGACTTGGAAAGGGTTATCAACGCCTTTGTAACCACAAGGTTGGATTACTGCAACGGTCTGTATGTGGGTATGGACCAGGCCTCAATTAGACGCCAGGCGTCTAATTGAGGCCTGGTCCATACCCACATACAGACCGTTGCAGTAATCCAACCTTGTGGTTACAAAGGCGTTGATAACCCTTTCCAAGTCTTTAAAAGATAAAAACGACTTGGTCTTAGCCAATAGTCGTATTTAAAAAAAAAAGCAGGTTTTAACTACGCTGCTGACCTGTTTATCAAATTTAAAAGTGCTATCGAAGGTCACTCCAAGGTTCTTGACTTAGACCTCCTGATTGAGAGCAGGGAAGCAGTCCATTCAGTCAGTCTGTGTGTAGAACTAATGTTAGCTCCAAAACCAAAGTGCACGGCTGTCAACAACATCATTAGGGGTCATTAGTCTGATATTAAGACCTTATTAGACATGACTTACGATACCAGCAATTTGTCAAGTACATTTCCTCAATTAAAAATAGGAGGGAATTTATAAAATTATTTGTTTTGTTTTAATTCTAAAATTCCAAAATGTAACAAAATATGTTTGGAAATATCCCATGTGCTGGGGCTCAGTCAAGCCTGGGGCCCATTTACACGTTTCATCCTTTCTGTCTCACCTTTTCAGTTCGGTCTCTATAATGAAGGCACTGGAGATCCAGCCAAATCATCTTTAAAAAAACAAAACTGAAATGTGTTTTTCTATGGCTACAATTGTACAAATCACCACTGTGCGAGTGTTCATATCAGTAAATCCAATTGCCTCAGAGCTGAATTTACTTCAGCACAAACCCCCCTGTGACCAATTTTGACTGAAAATAAGTGCAGCTTAGAATCAATATGAACTGACTGTTAACAACGAATCAAACGTGTCTGTTGTTCAGGAGCAGAGCAGGTTCTACTGCTGGCTCGAAGGACGGACCTCCGGAGGATCTCACTGGACCTGCCCGACTTCACTGACATAGTGCTACAGGTAAGCCCACACACACAACCGCACATACGCACACACTCTCTTTCAGGTATTTATCATTGTTCCTCTGCTCATGCAGGTCGATGACATTCGCCATGCCATAGCTATAGACTATGACCCAGTTGAGGGTTACGTCTATTGGACGGATGATGAGGTTCGGGCCATCCGCCGATCCAACATTGACGGCAGCAATGCCATGATGCTGGTTACCACGGAGATCAACCACCCAGATGGCATTGCTGTTGACTGGGTGGCCAGAAACCTGTACTGGACCGACACCGGCACTGACCGGATCGAGGTACATCTTTACACAACAACAGTTCCACCAGTTATATTAATCTTAAAACTAGTGTTTAAGCAACATATAAATATCTACAATACTGCTGTTCGACCAAAAACATTATACCTGTATGTATATGCATATATCGCCATTGAAGACTAATTGGTTTAATGTGGCATTTCAGGTAACCAGGCTGAATGGAACGTCTCGGAAAATTCTGATTTCTGAGAATCTGGATGAACCCAGAGCCATCGTCCTGGACCCCGTCAATGGGTACGATTAGCCTCTGTTTATGCATGGGGTATATATTCTGGGGAGAGTGGACATTAAGATAAAAAAAATATATATAGAAAAACCTCTTACAAATACTTACTTCTTTTAGGCCAGTGGTTCTCAAACTTTTTCTGTCAGGCCCCCCCTTTGGAGAAAAAAAGAAGTCGGGCCCCCCCAACACAAATAGTCAGGCTCAGTGGTGGCGCCAGAGATTTATTTTGGGGGTGCTGTGGGGTAGCTTGACGTTTCATAAAGGGTGCTCAAACATTTAGGGTTTCCCATTAATGTACCGGGCGCTACAGTGGAATTTTCTACTGCAACAATCCCCACACATATACTGTACACAACGTACCCGCGACTGTTACAATGAAGGCTCGATAATCAGCTCACGGCATATAGGTGTAAGCAGGGGTAAAGTGCTATTTTTATAGGTGGTGTGTGGACCTCACATAGGGGGGTCTGGGGGCAAGCTCCCCCGGGAAGATTTATTTTTAAATATTGAAGTTGAAAGCATCAATCTGGTGCACTTTGAGAGCAACATGAAGAGATCTATGGATACATCTCTCAACACCTATATGAAACAGAACTGTAAACAGATTTACCTTTTTCTTTATGGATATTTTACAAATCTACCCTTTTAAACTTTTATTCTTTTTTTAATGTCATATAGTATTTCATACCTCGTTTTTATTTATTCTCTTATTTTTTCATAACTTATAATGATCATATAAACGTGTGCCTCGGAAATAATTGTTTTCATTATCTGGTGACCAATTCACTAACACCGAGAGAGTCTTTAGGCCCGTAGTGCTGTGGGTCTGACAGGAGAGGACTCTCCTCCACTTGTTGTTTGAAAAACTCCTTATATTCCGTTAGCGGTAGCTCGCTAGCACCAGAAAGCTAACACCAACAATCTCTTGG